AACACGGTCGAATATATATTCATTTCACAATATCAATGAGTCACAGGACAGTGTGGGGTTTCCCATACAATAGGTTTACCCACTGCATCCTATAGGTTTTATCCTCACTAAGGTTTCCCTGGTACACAGCCACCGAATAAGCAAGAAATACTAATGTGAAAATGAGTGAAAAGCCAAAGAAGCAATGTATTATCAATATTATAAAAGTAAAATACGACCTTGTATATTTAAAGACAAACAATAAATAACCATGTAAAATGTGTGAAAGACAAGAAAATGAATTATCGGCTTTTGTACAAGTTAAAAAAAATACAAACTTATATTTATTTAATTCTGAAGGACTACCTTACGGACAAACATCAATCTATCAATCCATTCGCGGTAGGACCTGAGTGAACGCTTAATGTTGTCGTCATAGACTGTCATCCTAGCATCCACAACTTGAAGGACAAATGCGTGTCCAACAGCCATGGTGTTACTCGCAGCAACCAAATAGAAGCCGTCTTCCAGGTTCAGTCTCTCAAAGGCCGCAATACCACGATGCCCCGTTCGGTGCTTGTTATCATCAATATCTACCAATGATAGTCTAGAACCCTTTAAATGTACTTGAGAAATAAACGCCCGAAAAATCCGCCAAGGTAACCCACGGGACAGGTCCTGGAGAAGTTCCTCAGAGCGCTCGAGGAAGTGTTGAATATGTGCATCTTTTACACCTTCAACATCACCAACCAATACCAGTACTTGCTGGAGTGCGAGGAACAGACATGTTCCAGTGGGATTTGCACCTGCCACAGATGGGTACTTCTGCGATACAAATTGAAAGAAGTCTTCCTTTCTCCCGGCGTCAACCCATTCGTCCACAATTGCCAGCATATCTCCAAAACCGTCCTCTGACAGCATCTTGTGCGGCTCCCACGTCCGGGGTAGACGACCGTATTTTTTCGTCCGCCACAGTACTCGATAGAGTTTCTCGCCTCTAGCTGTAGTGACGCTATCCTTGATGTATGCCACTCTCCATGTCGGTGCAGATTGGAGAGCTTTACAAATTTTCTTGCGACGTGATGGTCGACTCGATCTTGCTGAAAAAGCTGGTGTATTGATCTTAGTTAATCTGCGAACGCGAGAGCTCCTCCTTGGCTTCACGTGAGTCTGTAGAGTATGTTGATCTGGCTGCGTGTCTTCTAGTTGTTGCAATTGAATGACGTGCTCTGAAGATGAGTCGATGCACGCGGGTTTCTCCACAGGGGAGACCGTAAGCTGAGCAGATCTCGCGAGCATTTCTAGAGCTGGTAACTGCTTGTCTAATGCTGCCGGGATACTGCCACAAGTCATTGGCATAACCTGAGCCGCCCGAAGCATATTGTCTGGGGCTGGCGTATTATTACAGAGCTCCGGACCAATATACCACCGGTCAGACTACAGACTACTGAGACTTGGCAATGGAGACGAGAGGACTTGGCAAAAGGCACGACAGGACTTGGCAAGGAGACAAGAAATGAGAGAATGAGACCACCTACAGACGCGCTGAAAGACGACTGTGTCGCATGCTATACCACACGCGTCTTCGATGGTCTTGTCGAGCTTTATCTGATACCAAATCAAACGCCTTCAACATAAGAACCTCCTAAAACTAATTCGCGCATGATATAAATATTGAAGGGCAGAAGTGGTGGACCTGACCAAAAACCCTCTCAACGAGGAGAGCTCAAAACTGGCCTCAGATTGCTCGTAGCTGCTCTAGAATCCTCAGAAATCGA